GCAAAAAGTCTGAATTAATTACTGTGAATGTAATTTGTATATTATATCCCACAGAAAAAAAAATGTTGGGTAACTGCTTCTCTTGCCCTCCCCCCTCTCGTTATACCGCCTTTGGGGGGAACAACCCCATTATACAATTGCAACCAAAGTACTAATCTGTGACACATGTCAAGTGATATTAAAATATGTTGTGTGTAGGCACACTGTAGTTTCTATAAGATACTTAAACAATTCATGGTGATTTACAAGCATGGAAAAAAGAAATTAATGTTTACTTACGGAGAGTATAATCAAAATTATGTACGAGTGTGAATTTCACAAACTTATTCATTGGTAAACTTGTAACTCGAATCTATTTTTTCGCTTTGTTGCTCCTCCCTTTAACAGAATCTTCGCCACTGGATAAAAACAGATAGCGAACCATGACGGTTATTGACGTTTGTAGACTTACAGAGACTAGGTTTATTCTCCTTTAGGGTCTCGATAAGTCCTGGTTAAATATGTTCAAAGTAATGTAATATGTAGCTCATTGTCTTCATTTGTTGTTGCCCATCGTTAATCGATTAAAAACATGTTACCGAACATAGTAATGTTTTACACAGAAGAATTTAAGGTATGTAATTAATTTTAGTTGAATTTCTTGAATACTCAGAATGAAGTTCCGAAATTAACTTAATGATTATAATGATTTTTATTTGTCTTTACAAACACGTTTTTCTACTCTTTCATAAAATATGTTATATATATATATTATCCATCTTTTCTTAAGTTTTTATAATGTAAGATTAATTATTTGTTCTACACCAGATGAATCAGTGAGCTAAACTCTGAGTTCAGGCATACAACCGACTATTCTTAACCGAATACTGGGATTGTTTATTACTGTTATAGCATACACACAGTTGAAAGTGCAAAGAGGGTTTCGAAGCATTACATCTCAAACCTTGGATCCTAAGCGTAATATATTAACCACTTAGCCACTTCTGTGCCCTAATATTACTGACAACTGCCACTCTTAAATAAATAAGTAATGTTTTGTATCTATGATTTACCTTAATTATTATAATATATCTGCGACTCTAAGTTTTACCTTTATTCTTCGAAATCTTTATTACTATAATATATGTGAGTGTCTATGTTTTACCTTTATTTGTAGAACATGTGTTTGTGTGCCTATGTTTTATCTTACCTTTATTATTAGAACATATTTGTGTCTATGTTTTACCTTTATTATTAGAATATGTATGGGTGTGTCTAAGTTTTACCTTTATTATTATAATGTGTCTGTGTCTCTGTGTTTTACCTTCATTATTAGAATGTGTGTGTTTCTCTGTGTTTTACCTTTATTATTAGAATGTGTGGTTTTACCTTTATTATTAGAATGTGTGGATGTGTTTATGTTTCACCTTTATCATTAGAATATGTGTGTGAGTGTCTCTATGTTTTACCTTTATTATTAGAATGTGTGTGTTTCTCTGTGTTTTACCTTTATTATTAGAATGTGTGGATGTGTTTATGTTTCACCTTTATCATTAGAATATGTGTGGGTGTGTCTATTGTTTATCTTTATTATTAGAATATGTGTGTGTGCCTATGTTTAACCTTTATTATTAAAATATGTATGTGTGTGTGTGTCTGTGTTTAACCTTTATTATTAAAATATGTATTTGTGTGTCTATGTTTTATATTTATTATTAGATAATGTGGGTGTGTTTATGTTTCATCTTTATCATTATAATATGTGTGGGTGTGTCTATCTTTTATCTTTATTATTAGAATTCTTTGTGTTTCTATGTTTTACCTTTATTATTAGAATATGTGTGTGTGTCTATGTTTAACCTTTATTATTAAAATATGTATGTGTGTGTCTATGTTTAACCTTTATTATTAAAATATGTATTTGTGTGTCTATGTTTTATATTTATTATTAGATAATGTGTATATGTCTATGTTTTACCTTTATTATTATAATGTGTGTGTTTCTCTGTGTTTTACCTTTATTATTAGAATGTGTGGGTGTGTTTATGTTTCATCTTTATCATTATAATATGTGTGGGTGTGTCTATCTTTTATCTTTATTATTAGAATTCTTTGTGTTTCTATGTTTTGCCTTTATTATTAAAATATGTATGTGTGTGTGTCTGTGTTTAACCTTTATTATTAAAATATGTATGTGTGTGTCTGTGTTTAACCTTTATTATTAAAATATGTATTTGTGTGTCTGTGTACACCTTTATTATTATAATAATTTGTGTGTCTGTTTTTTATTTTTATTATTGGAATATGTGTGTGTGTCTATGTTTTACCTTTATTTTTAGAACATGTTTCAGTGTCTAAGTTATATCTTTATTATTAGAACATGTTTGTGTGTCTAAGTTTTATATTTATTATTAGAATTTCTGTGTGGCTATGTTTTACCTTTATTATTAGAATGTTTGTGTGTCTATGTTTTACCTTTATTATTAGGATGTGAGTGTGTCTCTTTGTTTTACCTTATTATTAGAAACTGTGTGTGTATATATATGTTATACCTTTATTATTAGATTATGTGTGAGTGTGTTTATGTTTTAAATGTATTATTAGAATACATATCTATGTCTGTGTTTTACCTTTATTATTAGAATATGTATGGGTGTGTCTGTGTTTCTCCTCTATCATTAGAATATGTGTGTGTGTCCTTTTATCACCTTTATTATTAGAATGTGTGTGTGTATATATATATGTTTTACCTTTATTATTGGAATGTGTGTGTATATATATGTTTTACCTTTATTATTGGAATGTGTGTGTATATATATATATATATGTTTTACCTTTATTATAAGAATTGTTTGTGTGTCTCTATGTTTTACCTTTATTATAAGAACATGTTTCTATGTCTATGTTTTACATTTATTATTAGAACATCTTTGTGTTTCGATGTTTACCTCTATTATTAGAATATGTTTATGTGTCTAGGTTTTACTTTTATTATTAGAATATGTGTTTGTGTCTATGTTTTAACTTTACCATTAGCATATGTGTGTGTGTTTATGTTTCACCTTTATCATTATAATATGTGTGGATGTGTCTATCTTTTACCTTTATTATTATAATTTGTTGTGTGTCTATGTTTTAACTTTATTATTAGAGTATGTGTGTGTCTAGGTTTAACCTTTACTATTAAAATATGTATGTGTGTGTCTATGGTTTATCTTTATTATTAGAACATCCGTGTGTATGTCTATGTTTACCTTTATTATTAGGGTATGTGTGTGTGTGTGTGTCTCTGTTTTATATTTATTATTAGAACATCAATGTGTGTCTATGTTTAACCTTTATTATTAGAATATGTTTATGTGTCTAGGTTTTACTCTTGTTATTAGAATATGTGTTTGTGTCTGTGTTTTACCTTTATCATTAGCATGTCTGTGTGTGTTTATGTTTCATCTTTATTATTAGATAATGTGTGTGTTTCTGTTTGATCTTTATTATTAGAACATCCGTGTGTGTGTCTATGTTTAACCTTTATTATTAAAATATGTATGTGTGTGTCCATAATTTATATTTATTATTAGATAATGTGTGTTTTTGTTTTACCTTTATTACTAGAGCATCCGTGTGTGTTATGTTTTACCTTTATTATTAGAATATGTGTGTGTCTATGTTTTACCTTTATTATTAGAATGTTTGTATGTCTATATTTTACCTTTATTATTAGGATGTGAGTGTGTCTCTTTGTTTTATCTTATTATTAGAAACTGTGTGTGTATATATATGTTATACCTTTATTATTAGATTATGTGTGAGTGTGTTTATGTTTTAAATGTATTATTAGAATACATATCTATGTCTGTGTTTTACCTTTATTATTAGAATATGTATGGGTGTGTCTATGTTTCTCCTTTATCATTAGAATATGTGTGTGTGTCCTTTTATCACCTTTATTATTAGAATGTGTGTATATATATGTTTTACCTTTATTATTGGAATGTGTGTATATATATGTTTTACTTTTATTATAAGAATTGTTTGTGTGTCTCTATGTTTTACCTTTATTATTGGAATATACGTGTATGTGTGTGTCTATGTTTTACCTTTATTATATTCGTTTTGTGCTAAATCACCACACATTCGATCCACGAAAGGTGTAAAGTTTCTAAACAGAATTGTTTTTGCCAGTATAAGTGAACACATTATATATATATGCAGCACACGAATCATTCAATACTTATGAACGTGTATTAGCTCTTTAAAATATACCGGGGGGGGGGGGTAAATATATAAAACAACAGAGTTATTGTTTGTATATTAATATGTTAGTTTTATTTAAACATACAAATATTTATTCGTTGTGTGTCACCTGATCCGTTTATAGAAGTGGCAACACAAGTACATTCATCCTATAGAATCAACTTTGAATTTATGTTATGTCCTGTAGATTGATAAAAACTGTCAACAAATGATCCAAATACTCATTTCACTGAATTTCCCATGTTAAGTTATATACAAGTAAGTAAACTGTGTAAATCATTGCGAATTATAGCGTGTGTTTAAGTTAAAGTGACTGTGAAAATTCTGTGTATATACAAGAATAGAATATTTTCCTGTCTTTATTTAGACTTCTTGAATTGTTTTTTTTTCCTGATTCATTTATACATGTATGTTAAACATTAGGCGGATTCCTGAAAAGTTATCCTGTTAACAAAAAATTCTTGTTCAAGATAATGACGTTAACAATCATGTTTCGATACCTGCGGTGAACAAAGTACATATCGCCCATTGTGTAACCTTATGCTTAACAAGAAACAAACAAAACATTCAATATTAACCTCCATTAAGAAAAATATAGTCAGCCATGAAAGTTGCTAAGTATAATATTACGAAGGAAACGCAACAGAAACCTGTTAGATGTATAAAAACTGTTTTTTAATTATACTGTATTGTATTGAGTAATGTATTACCTAGTTCTTGTCTCTTTCTTATGCTTTCAAGGCTTAATGGTTATTATTGTTTTACAGCGTTTAGACCACACAAAAAGAGAAAGATGTCTGTCATCTGCCAGAACTTTGTCCAGAATACTTGGAAGAAAGACCTCTGCTCCAACTGTTTCAAGTCTTTAGCTGATCACGTTGAAGAACTCACCAACAATCAGAAAAACCACGTCTTTTCTCACTTAAGGCTAAATGACACCCCCAGATATATTTCTCAGGCAACTACAGTTTATCAGTCCAGGTGTTTACTTAAACCTACCACTTGGAAAACATCTTTAACTGAACGCAGAGATTTAGACAGTCCAAAACCGTTTAAATTAGAAAATGGTTATAATGGTAAACATCTAAGAATTACTTCTACCTCAGAAGAAGTCAATGCTAGTACGATTTCAGATAGAAACATATCTCTGAAAAATAGTCACATCAATGATTACTTGAATGGCCACTGCAGTACGGAATTACTAAATAAACAAATGTCTGGGATTTTGCGTACTCCAGGAAAGAAGAATGAGTCAGGTGGAAAGTCGGGTGTTGCTTTTCTAGACGGTCCAGAAGTGATAGGTTACGGAGGAAACGATTTTGTTTCTGATGATGAATGGGAAACTTCTTCTGATGAAGGAGATATAAACTTAGAATTTTTCGACGTTACAGAAGAAGACAAAGCTATAACTAAAATTACCAAGGAAAATACTACATTTAATGCCAACTATGCCAATCTCCGCTGTAAAGAACCCGTGAAAACACCAACTACTTCCGTGTTGAATGGACTCGTGAATGGCACAAACGGATACAGTGAAGAACATTTGGAAGTGTCCCAGACTGATAAAAATATCTCTGCCTCATCGACCCAGTGTGAGAGGCCAACAGACAAAAATAGCTCACACTCTTCCAAACAGCCTTATGGGACGGTTCCCCAGCGTCGACGAGATCCGCCACTAAGAGCATCAGTAAAGCCATTCTTTCGCGAGGTGCCTTGGAGCAGTACAGAGAACCATGATAGAATACAGCCAGTGGCACCACTACAAAAGCAGTTCGAATCTAATACAAACATGAGTGAAGAGAAAAAGCTAATTAAAACTGTTTCTGAATCAAAGATGTGTGATTTTGGTCTAATCACATCGAACTTGAATGAGGACGAAGACATCTTAAAAGAAAAGAAGATTAATTCAGAGAAGGATGAGGCCCCAGTTGTTTCAACAACAGAAGATCAAAATGTTTTAGATACAAGTAAAGAAAACAGTCAAGAGCTCAACGATACCCATTCATGTTCCAGTTTGTCAAGTGAAGTCTCTCAGTCTTCAACATCCACTGGCACATGTGTGTCTATAGATAAATCAAATACCAGCGAATGTTTGTTAGCAGACGCAGATACGGATGGTATTTTTTCAAATATAAACGATCATTGTGAATCAGGAAACACTGAATCCATCGACAGAGATTTGATAGGAAAACAAGATTTATGTGAAAGGAACTCGGATCCGACAAAGGTGGACATATCGACATCTGAGTCATCATTTCTTGATATAAATACAACCGAAAACAAAAATTCTGAAATTACACAAACTTCCACATGTACACCTGATATCGATCTATTTGAGTCCAATAAAAGTCCATCATCGGAGAAAATATCAGAGGTAAAATTTCCTTCTGAAATATCCAAGGATATACAAGAACAGTCATTGTCTGATGACACGAACAAACTGTTCAATGATAAGTCAGGCACAATGGAGATACTACAAGACACCTCATTTTCTTCCATGAATAATAGTTCTGACGAAAAAAGAAATAAGAAGCCCGAACCATTAAAAAACAAACCACAAGTTCCAAAAAAACCAGCAAGTGTGCAAATTCTCCACCCTCAAAGTGTCAGAACGGTCAGTCCTGAATCGGAGTTTAGGGATAGCAATACTGTTGACGTGAACGTTAATATTGAACAGCCAATATACTCAACAGTGACCAAGCCTGAACTACCATGCTCTCCACCTGTCGAGAAACCTCAAGTTGCTGTTTCGCCTGTGAACCATTATGCAGAGAGCAACATTTATCAGGAAATCAGTAATACATACGACATGTCAGATCTTTCGACAAATCACAAATCTGACGTCAGTCGAAACTCTAAGCTCGCTGCTCTGGCTGTGGAACTAGAGCAAGTTAGGTTCAACAGTGTAGCTAAACGCCACGCTCCCCCTCCTCCGAAAATTCCGGAAATCTTAATCAGTACTCAGGAAGGACAAGCATCTACCATACTTTCTGCTGGTGAAGAAAATGATGAAGAAAGAATATCGGTTAATCTATCTGCTCAAACGGCCTCAGTTTCTTCTGGAACTCCGATTAAAAAAAATGAGCCTTGTAGAAATATATTTTTAACTGAAGGAAAAATAAAAAGCACCACTTTTACATCTACGTATTCTCGTTCAAAAGCTCACAACAATAACCCGGAAGACTCCACTAAAAGTAAAAAAGGAAAATTCTCATTGAAAAAATTTCTGAAACGAGGGAAAGATCCTTACTCAGGAGACACCCTTACTGACAAAAGTGACCTATTAGCACCCAACCCTAAAGCGTGGAAGCAAAATGAATTTGACAGAACAAAGCTAAAGTTAGAAATAATACATCCAATGGATATGGTAAACCGAAGCCAAGAAGAAGAAAAATGGCAAACATCTCAGAACCTCGATGTATGTGTATCACCACCAGTTGTGTCTGACACAGCTAAGGATGCTAGCCACCGTGATGACCAAACATATGATCAAGCAAATTCTTATGAAGTTATTAATGGACTAATTCTTGATTCTACAAGTTGTAGTGTAGAACCTGGGAAGGTATGATTGTCTATTAATATCATAGTTTAGTATAATAACAATACTTCAGATATGTTTAGACTCGTCACAAAAGAGAGAAACGTTTCTATACGAAACATTTGAAGTTAAGCTAGAGAGAAACCTCAGAAAAACTAAAATTCTAAAAATGTTAAGACAGTTATTTACGCTGAATTAAATAGAAGAATTTTCATAGTTTTACTGTAAATTAATAAGAATATCAATAGTTTTAAATGTGTATTTCTTATTTTCAGAAGAATCTAAAAATAAAACATTATTAGTTTTTCCTACTTTCTTTCCAAAGAGAATAAGTAAAATGAAAACAAGTTAAGTTTGTTTAATGATATATCAACTTCTTTATAATCAAGTACATGATGGCAATAAGTAACATGAAAACAAGTTAAGTTTTTTTCATGATATATCAACTTCTTTATGATCAAGTACATGGTAGCAATAAGTAACATAAAAAAACTTTCACGAGCCTACCCTTTACACGATCATGCTAAAGAATATATCTCAACATAAAATGTTTAATGCTTTATATCAATTAATATAAAACTTCCAGAATATTTCTTTCCAGACACCAAGTTTTACCGATGTACAAAAACCAAGATCGTCAACAGGGGGCTCCACAGTTAGTACATCATCCACTGAAAACATAACACGTTTATCACAAGATTTCTCTTGTGAGGATAGCCGTCCAGCTAGACCACCTAAGCCCCCTCCGCCACCTCGCTGTCGATCGTTAATCCCAAGTCGAATAAATAACATCAGTGCTGTTCTTACTGATGGAAGAAGAACACCACACCTCAAAGTAGGCATACCTGTTTATTTTTTGTGTTAGAGTAAAGATGCCATTGGGTTTGTAAATATGTACATAAGTTTACAGTGAAAATATTAAACATGTTTGCAAGCAGCAATAAACTAATTATACTTTTTATTACTTAAAATCTGAGTGTGTTAATATTGATTGAGAAAGAATGCTAACAAAAGTGTTTATTATTAAGAAGATAACTTCTCATACAATACCACTGGGGTAGCTTCTACTGTTCTTTGTTAAGATCCTTCTTTAACTTTACTTCATCTAGCCAGCTCTCGAGCCCTTTAAACTGGTTCTTATATATGAATGTTGTGTATTGTTCTTCCATTGTCATAATCATTGTATTTGTACCTAAGCTCCTTTTTGAATATTATAATTTTGTTTTGTTCATTAGCATGTTAACGGATTAAACATGAATCCTATTTTAGGGCGATCCAACTTAGTGCATATACAGATACACTGATAGTGCTTATCATTCAAAAAATGCTTCTTTATTTACCCATACAACCAGAATTTAGTGTTACTATATCTTTTTTCCCCTCGTTATTTACTTTATTTTCCTCTATTTGATATTTTCTAACTTGGGTCAAGCACACTTCAGTGCAGACGTGAATAGCCAAATCCAGCGATATTTAATATACAATTGAATTAGCATGGTAACGCGTTATTATTAACCCTGAATATAATAATTTTGTATTGTTCATTAGCATGGTAACACGTTATTATTAACCCTGAATATAATAATTTTGTAAAATTATTGTATTCAGGGTTAATAATAACACGTTACCATGCTAATGAACAAAGGATTTGTTCATTAGCATGGTAACGCGTTATTATTAAACCTGAATACAATAATTTTGATTTGTTCATTAGCATGGTAACGCGTTATTATTAAACCTGAATACAATAATTTTGTTTTGTTCATTAGCATGGTAACGCGTTATTATTAATCCTGAATATAATAATTTTGATTTGTTCATTAGCATGGTAACGCGTTATTATTAAACCTGAATACAATAATTTTGATTTGTTCATTAGCATGGTAACGCGTTATTATT